TGTCCCTGTAGGAAAGGTGACAATGCAGTTATTTCTCCACTCCCTGAATGTTTATAGAGCACCTACATGCCAGGCTCTGTTGGCCCTAGAAATAGAATTAATTAATAAAATAGATTTTAAAAAATGGGGCCCCCAGGGAGATTATAGTTTAGCAGTGGGAAACAGTGTTAAAATGAGAATAGTAAGCCTGATGCCGTGGTGCATGCCTGTAGTCCCAGCTATTTGAGAGGCTGAGGCAGGAGGATGGCTAATGCTCAGGAGATAGAGACCAGTCTAGGAACATATTAAGACCTGTCTCTAAAAAAGAAACCAACCAATCAAAAACATAGGGTTAATGCTTATGGAGAAAAATGGTATAGGAAAAAAAATATACAGTTGGAAAGGAGAGGGAGACTGCAATTGCAGTTTGTAGTTTAAAATGAGGAGTCAGGGAAGGCTTCATTGAGAAGTGACACTGGATAAAGACCTGAAGAAGGTGAGGGAATGAGGCCAGCAGAATCTGGGGGCAAGCAGAGAAATGCAGCTTCATAGCAAGGTAGGAGGGCTAAAGGAACAGGCTGGAGGGACTGAGCAGGGCAGACGGAGAAGAGATGAGTGAGGTCGAAGAGGCAGTAGGCTGGAGAGGGAAGGAAGAGCTTTTAGAGTCTCATAGGCCATTGGGACCACTTTGGGCTTTCCTGCCCTCAAGATGGGAAGTCTGGAGGATTTTGTCAGTGGAATGACATGATCTGACTTTTTTTTTGGTGGAACTGGGATTGGAACTCAAGGCTTTGCACTTGCAAAACAGGCACTCTTCTGCTTGAGTCACACCTCCAGTGCATTTTGCTCTGATTATTTTGGAAATGGGGGTCTCATGAACTCTTTGCCTAGGCTGGCTTTGAACCTCAAGCCTCCCAATCTCAACCTCCCAAGTATCTAGGATTACAAGTGTAAGCCACTGGTGCCTGACTCTGACTTATTTTTAAACAGAATCACTCTGGCTACAGTATTCAGAAAAAACTAAAGGGGAGCAGAGAGTGGGAACAGAGAGTTTTTGTGAAGAATGATAGTAGCTTAATCAAGGTGATGGAGGTAGAAAAAGTGAAAAGTGATTGGATTTGGGATGTGTTTTGATGATAAAGCCAAAAGAATTTCCTGAGAGATTAGATATGGAGTTTAAGGTAAGAAAGGAGTCTGAGCGGGTGTCAATGGCTCACGACTGTAATTCTAGCTACTCAGGAGGCAGCAATCAGGAGGATTGAGGTTTGAAGCCAGCCCAGACAAATAGATTGAGAGACCCTATCTTGAAAAACCCTTCACAAAAATAGGGCTGGTGGAGTGGCTCAAGGTGAAGGCCCAGAGTTCAAGCCCCAGTACTGCAAAAAAAAAAAAAAAAGAAAGGAGCCTGAAATGACTCTAAGGAAGAAAGTGGAAGGACAGTGTTATCATTCAGTGAGCTGAAAACTGGGAAACTGGGAGAGGAAGAGGTTTTGGGGGAAGATCAGGAGTCCAGAATTGGATGTGTTAAATTTGGGGCACCTATGAGACATCCAAGGGTGTCAAGTAGGGAGTTGTAAGAGTGAAACTGGCCCTCCAGGGAGGGTCTGGGCTGGAAAGACAAATTTGGTTGTCGTCAGCAGAGGGATGGTATTTAAAGCCATGAGTCTAAATGAGATCACCCAGGGCGAGCGTGGGGACAGAAGAGGTATGCTCCTGACAGCCCTGGATGCACAGCAGCATGGGCAGAAGTTAGGAGGGGCCAGCAGAGAAGACAGAAGTCATAGCCAGCAAGGTAGAAAGAAAATCCAGTGTCATCTCCAAAGCCAGTGAGGCGAGTGTTTCAAGAAACACCAAAGAGTCAAGTGAGTCAGTACAGCTGACAGGTCAAGTAAGACAAGGACAGATAACTGGCTACTGAATTTAGCAGCAGATCACTGGTGACCTTGAGACGAGCAGGTCATAGAGCAGTGGGGTGAAGACCTAACCAAGTGGGCCCTTTATCAGAGGTGGGGAGAAATAGACATATTCTTTGGGACAGGCCCTGTTTAATGAGTCCCTGTCAGGGGCTAGAGACATCTTCACTCACCATCTGTACTAACAACTCAGTGAGGAAACATAGGCTCATACAGGTTCAAGGGCTTGCTCAGGGTATATAGAACCAGGATTTCCACTCAGACTTGTCCAACTATATAGCCTGCTTGACTGCATCTCCCCACTAGGAGGCCTAGGTCCTCCCAGGCCTCCCTTCACACGGCTGGTTGGGCCCTTCTTGGGGACTCACTATCTTGCCTAGTGGGTGTGATTTGCCTAGGTGTAGACAGACACTGCCTAGTAGTTTTCCTTGCGACACCTGTGACACGAAAAGGTTCTTGGAGAAGGGCACTACCCAGGCCTCACTCTTAGCCTTTAAGCTTAGAACTTATACATCCAGGCTTTGGCACACACAGTTGTAGATTCAAATCCTGACTCTGCCATGTACTGGTTTTATGACCCTGGGGAAATCACCTAGTGGGGTGAGCCTTGGTTGCCTTGTCTGTCTGTTGGGAGTTGTGAAGTTCAGGATGCATCCCCTAGCTAATGAGTAACAAGTACTCACTGAGTGGTGCCATGAGTTTTGTTGCCCAGTGGAGTTAGTTAAGGAGTTTGCAGCTGGCTGGGAAATTGGCAGCGGCCAGGCAACTGTCTCCAGCTGGCATGGGAAGAGCTGGGTGGACTGTCATGGAGTCTGGGGCTGGCAGAGTTGCGGGGCCACTGGGGAAACAGGCCCTCAGCTGGGGCTCTTCATGGAGCCCAGGAAGCTGGAGGGGGAAGGAATGAGCCTAAGGTGGTGTCATTGCCTAACACCTCATGCCTCATACTGCCTTACCCAGGTGCAGGAGGACACATGGGCAAGGGATGGGCTTTGCTGATGATGCTGGGTTCAACTCTAGGCTTCTTCACTTACAGCTGAGTGACCTCAAAGTACACTACCTAACTTTGCTGTGCTTTCCCCTCCCCATCTGTCTGAAAGAGATGTTTATAGTGCAGTCAGTGAGGATTAACACTAGTATGTGTAAAACACTTTGCACATGAGAAGCTCCTGGCAACAATACAAATGTCAGTGATTGTTGTTGTAACTAACTAACACTTGTCACACTACTGTGAGGTAGGTGATCTTCATACTCTGTAGGACAGGAACTGTGGCACAGAGCAGGTCTGAAGTGGGCCCAAGGTAACATGGTTGGTGGAGAATTCAGAATTCATATTCACATGGTTCCAGAACCCAAACCAACCATTGGACTCCCACCTCCCTGAAGAAGGCATCTAGAATCCCAAAAATGCATCCTTGGGGAGGTCCCTCCCTGCATATATGTTGTCACCCTCTAGGGATAAGTAGCTTACCACATCCTGAGAGGGCCAGAGTTCCCAGAACAGGGAACCTGGTATAGCAGAGGCCTCCAGGAAGAGCGAAAAATGTTCCCCACGGACACTGCCTGCTCCCTAAGTCAGGTCAGTGGCAGTATCCTCACTGATGCCCTCAGTGCCCAGAGCTTAGCAGCCAATGGCACCAGCATTCAACATGCAGAAGATTCTGTTTGGGAGAGCTAGAGGTACCTCAGGACCCACAGGGAAAGGGAGGAAAGTGTTGACGTATGAATTGTGACAAGCCCTGTACTGTCATCCCTGCTTGATTGGGTTCATTACGCCCATTTTACAGATGCAAAAATAGAGGCTAAGAGCTGTCGAACAGTTTCCTTCCCTTCCTGTCTTGGGGTGGTGAAATCAGAATTGTGCCCTCAGCTAACTGAAAGCTGCCCTATAGCACACATGTATGTGTGTTTACCAAACAGTGTGCCTTTCTTGCCTGGCACTTCAGCATCTTTTATAGGGTTCCTAGAATTGTTAAGTCTTAAGAAATTTGAGGGGCTCACAGAGTACTCAAGTGGTATAGTACCTAGCAAGCATGAGGCCCTTAGTTAAAACCCCAGTACCACAAAAATAAATAAATAAATAAATAAATTTGGAGGGGGATTTATAAAGTAGGCAAGACATAGTGGTTCATGTCTATAATTCCAGCTACTCAGGAGGCAGAGATCTGAGGATCACCATTCAAGGCCAGTCCAGGCAAAAAAGTTAGTAAGACAGCTCAACCAATAGGTGGGTATGGTAACACATGCCTGTGATCCCAACTACAATGGGAAGCATAAAATAGGAAGATCATGGGGGAGATGGGGAGGTGGCCCAAATAATGTATACACATGTAAGTAAGTGTAAAAACAATAAAATAAAATTTAAAAAAATAGGAGGATCACAGTCTAGGCTGACCTGACAAAAATGCAAAATTCTATTCCAAAAATAACAAAAGCAAAAAGCCTAGTAACATGCCTCAAGAAGTAAAACCCCTGCCTAGCAAGCACAAGGCCCCAAGTTCAAAACCTAGCATCACCACCAGAACAAAAAAGATTACAAAATAGACATAGCTGGCTACCCACACATGGGCATCCCACTTATGCCATGCTTATATCCTCCTTGCTCAGCCCCATGTGTCCAGTACTGGCACCCCTGTGAACCAGGCCTTGGGTTGGGCACTGTGACCAGAGATAGAGCAGAAAGGTGGGGGTTGGGGGGAGGCAGACGTAGAAACCAACTGTTACCATTTGGTGGTACAAACTTTTTCTCCATTTTTCCACCACACCCTGCTCCCTTCTGCCCCTTGCACACATTCTTCACTGTCAGAACCAATCCCAGCTCATCCTCTGGATCTCAGCTTTGCTGGTACTTCTTCAGGAAGCTCCCTCATGCAGGTTAATCATCTCTGCTGTGCTATCCCAGACATGGTACTTCCTCTCTGCTGCTATTGGTCTGACTGCCCTGCTACAGGACAAGCTCCAAAGATGCAGCAATTCTGGCTATCTTCTTACCATCATTAGCCCAGCACATGGAAAGAGCATGTGTGAATGAATTAATAAGTTCATATAGCTGTATGTTGAACTAATGGCACACATGTGCAATCTGACCTTCTTCCCCTCTTGATCTTTCAGCTGTGGTAGCCAGGATCCCCACAGAGCCAAGACCTTCTCCAGAAGGTGACCCTTCTCCCCCGCCACCGCCACCACCGATGTCAGCCCTGGTCCCTGACACTCCTCCAGATACCCCTCCTGCCATGAAGAATGCCAGTAGCCCTAAGCAGCTCCCACCGGAACCAGAGAGCCCCTTAGGGAAGGTCGAGCCTAGGCCAGTCCCCCCACAGGAAGAATCCCCTTCCTTAGAAGCAAAGAGCAGGGGATCAACCCCACCAGCCACAGGCCCAAGGGATGCCAGGCCTCCTCGAAGGAGCAGCCAGCCATCCCCAACAGCAGTGCCAGCCTCCGACAGCCCTCCTACTAAGCAAGGTATGTGTACTGTCCCCAGTCTTGGGCCCTGGGTGGTGCCACTCAGCTGAGGGAATCCCTTTTACCCTAGAGATGGAGATGGGGGAGGAGGGTGAGGCTGGAGGAAGGACTAAGACTGGCTGCTCCTTGGGGAAGACTTTTTGACCTGCCTGTTCTTGTTCCCTCTGCTAAGATGTAAAGAAGGCAGGAGAAAGACACAAGCTGGCAAAGGAACGACGAGAAGAGCGGGCCAAGTACCTGGGTGAGTGTTGGGGAAACACTGTTGTCATCACCTTCAGCATGCTATGAATAACACAGGCCTGGCTGGAACACTGCACATGCGCTGTGCACGACCAGCATCTGCAGAAGCTCATCTAATCCTCTCAGCCCATTTTGAGGAGGAAACAGAAGCTCAGAGAGATGAAATCACTTGCCTAAGCTGCACAGCTAGTGGAGGAGCTGAGATGCAGAACCAGATGCCTTCTCTCACCCTAAATTCATGCTTTTAACCACAATATGTACAAATCTGTCCACTAGACCCCCCAAGTCTACTTGTTCTACTTGGTCTCTCAAGCTGCAGAACTCACTTCTCCTTCTTCCCTGAGAGATGTGAGGCCATGGGGAAGAAGGAGGCCTCCCCCCATGGCCTGTCTTTAGGAAGCCCTTGAATGTGAAGGGGTGCCTGCAAGTGTAGGTTCTGCTTAGGCAGGCAAGAAAGGGGCCCCCAAGGGCTGGAGTAGCAGGGAAGCCACTTGGATGAGATACAGCCCAGGCCTGCCTCAAAATTCCTAATATATTTTGGGGCTCTTTTTCAGCGGCCAAGAAAGCAGTTTGGCTGGAAAAGGAGGAAAAGGCCAAGGTGCTTCGGGAGAAGCAGCTCCAGGAGCGCCGGCGGCGACTCGAGGAACAGCGGCTGAAAGCTGAGCAACGCCGGGCAGCCCTGGAGGAACGGCAGCGGCAGAAGCTGGAGAAGAATAAGGTGGGTTCCTGCTGCTCCTCACTGGATCCTCATGAATCTGGGGTCTGCAGACATGTGTGCCTACATGTGTGTGTACTGGTGAAGTGTGTACACATACCAGCATCCAGGGCCTCCACGTGGTCCCATGTGTGTACATCTACAACTATGTTCCTATATAAAAATGTTTGGCCATCTGCACTGCAGATGTGTTTGCTCCCATATGTGCCACTACAAGACACTGTGACTGCACCCATGTGTCTTTTCCTATGCATGCAGATAAATGTCCGTGTGATTGTGCCTTCGCTCTGTCTTATGGGTGAAAACCCTGGCTTGAGTACTGGTGAGGCAGTGAAGGAAATGGTGGCCTGTCCTTGCCTGGTAGCATCAGATTAAGGGGAAGACATAGCCCCAAGGTCAGAACCCTTCATGGCAGGAAGACATGGCCTTGCCTAGGAGCCCCAGGCAGGGAGAGTCCCATCCCAGCCTCAAAGAAGCAACTTATATATCCCGGAAATGACTCAGACACAATGAAAGCTCTCCAAGAACAGTGGAAAGGAATCTATCACACATGGGCCTTAATCACTGCAAGGACTTTGGTAACCTTGGTTACCTGCAGTGAGTCAGGAAAGCTTGGGAGGGGGCGAAGGGAGGGGAAGAGGCACTGTCATAGGAGGAAGAAGGCCTCTCTCCCAGGTATGATGGATGATTCTGAACCAGACCTCTCCCTTCTCCCCACCTGCCCCCAGGAACGCTATGAAGCAGCCATCCAGCGGTCAGTAAAGAAGACATGGGCTGAAATCCGGCAACAGCGCTGGTCCTGGGCAGGGGCTTGCACCACAGCTCCCCAGGACATAAGACCAGTGAGTGGGCCCGAAGGCTGTTGGTTGGGTGGGTGAGGCTGGGGTCTGGTGAGGTGGGGAGGAAGGGAACAACTTATGTATAAGGAGCTGGCTGCTCCCTGCAGCTGGTGTGTCTTGCTTCATGTGACTTGTGTCTTCTGAAATGGTCTGTAAACCAAATTGTCCCTTCCCAAGGACTTCCACTAGCAAATCAGGGATGGATTCTCTCGACTTGGTTTGCTCTTCAAACCTCTGCCATTTTAGGAGTAGCCTTCTTTGCTCCTGTCAATTACTATTAGTTGATGACACATAAAGAGGACTTTAATGCCCTGCAGACACTGGATATTTAAAGAAAACTGTCACCCCTGTGCTGGAAGGTAGATTTTTGTCTCTGAGTTTTCTTTACGTAGGCACATCATGGATTTTAGTCCTATTCTTTGCTGGCATGTATGTACCACTGTGTTTGGATATCTTTATGCAATGGCAAAATTCCATATTTCTAGCTGAATATCCTGTGGTGTATGTGCTCGTGGATCTGTATTGTGTAGCTTAATATGTTTGTGATGGTGTGTTTGTGGCCTTGTACACCTCAGTGAGGGCTCCTAAGTCAGACAGACTTGGGTTCCAGCTCCAGCACTTGCGGTATGACTTTTGACTTCTCAGCATCTCACTTTCTTCATCTGTGAAATGGGGATCATGACACTACTTGTCTCCGAGGTTGTAGGTAGATGTTTGGAGGATCAAGTGAGGTAACATGTGTATGGTGCCCAGCACAGTGCCTGGCCCATGGTAAGCATTATCAAATGTTAGCTGTTATAAATATCATGGTTAGGTTGCTTCAATGTGTTTGTGCCTTGTGTGCATCTGGGGTCTTACATATTTTTTGTTACTTGTGTTTCTCTGTGCATGTCTACACACACATGTGCATGCATAAGTATCTATCACTGTATATGCCTGTGTCTGCATGTCTTTGTCTTTGTGTTTCTGGATGAATATGTGATTTGTCCAAGTGATTGTGACTGTGTGGGTTCTTCTATTTAGGAACATCTTTGCATTGCCCAAGTATGTGGGTGTTGTATCCATAGCGCCTTGGCTGGGCAGTGTCAGCAAGTGCCAATGCTGGGAGGTTGTGGGGAGGGGTTGCAGCACCCAGCCCTAGGGAATGGCTGCCTTTGGTCTGGCCAAGAAGGCTGTAGTTTCTCTAGTTTTACACCATCTCCTCCCTCTGCTCCTTCTCTGTCGGCTCCCCCAATCCAGGTTGTCTCTGTTCACCTACCTCTCACTCTCCCTCTTCCAGGGCCAAGTTGATCTCCTCCCCATCCTAGCCTGCCCACTCCTCCCTCTCCCCCACCCCAGCCCTTGGAGCATCCTGCATGGAAGGCCTCAGTGCCCCCCCTGGCTCCTGTCCGGCCCGGCCCTAATGCCGTGTCTTTTCCCCTCCAGGTGGGAGCAGGTGCTCCGTGTCGGCAGTAAACCTGCCCAAACACGTGGACTCTATAATCAACAAGCGGCTCTCAAAGTCCTCTGCCACGCTCTGGAACTCCCCCAGTAGAAGTAAGAGAAGGCTCAGTCTCCCCCTCCAGAGCCCCTTGTAGCTCCCAGTAAGCCTCCTCCCAAATCGCAGCAAGAACACCAGCCCCTGCAACCCTCACATACTCCAGGTCCCCATCCCTACTGTACCCCACCCCAGGCTCTGTGCCCTTCTGGGGAGCCGGCATTTGGATCTGGACCGTGAGGATAGTTAAGTGCTGCAGTAGAGGAGAACAGAGACAAAGGACAATGACACAGAGGACAGAAAGCCTGGCAGGGACCTCAAGAGCAAGTTGGGGATAGTGGCTCTGGGTGGAATGGGCAAGGAGCCTTACTTCCAACCACAGCCAGCTGGCCTGGGCCACCCTTAAACAGGTGGCCTTGCCCCCATGTGTCAGACTGGTCTAGGTGCTAGGGAGCAGTATTCTGACTTCTCCTTGGAGGACCACACTACCCTGTCCTCTCTGCCTTCAGAACCCTAACCATGGCCTTGGCTGGTTCTACAGTTGTGGCCAACTAGGGTGGCACAGCCCCTGCGTTCCCACCATGCCCTGGTGCTTACATATGAAGGCACCATGGTAGGAGTTATTTATAAGTTTCTCTAGCTTTTATTTGGTTGCTCTGTAGCCTAGCAACCAAATCAGCTGCTGCACCAACCCCACCTGACTGAGGCTTAAAAATAACCCAGCAGCTGATGGGACAGGGCAGGGTGGCCTAGGGCAGCCAGGCCCCCAGCAGTCTCTCCTTGGCATAAGACTCCTGAAAGCTGGGTCAGAGGAGCACAAGGACCCACAATGTTTCAAATCCAAGGATCACGCCTCCCCCAGGCCAGTGCTCTGAGAGTAGGAGAGGCAGAGTTCCACAGAGGGACCTAGGGGGAGAGGAAAACAGTTGCGGCTCCCACCAATCCTGTGTGGCTCCTTATGCGCACGGCTCAGAGCCCTTTCACCCGGGGAGAGTGGTAGGAGGGCCCCCGAAGTGATGCAGGATGTTGCCCTTGGAAGTATTTTGTTGCCTGGATCTGCAGTGGAGGGCCAGGTTTCCAGGAGGACAAGTGTGGCCCCGCGTGATTGGGGAGAACTGTCCTCCTAGGTGAGAATCCTTTGGCTTGGCGTGGGGACCATACCTGGTCTCCCTCTATGCCTGTGCCTGCGGTGACCGGCTTCACTTGGTGTTCTTCTCCCAGATCGCAGCCTGCAGCTGAGCGCGTGGGAGAGCAGCATCGTGGACCGTCTGATGACGCCCACCCTCTCTTTCCTGGCTCGAAGTCGCAGCGCGGTCACACTGCCCCGAAACGGCCGGGACCAGGGTAGGGGCGGCGGCCCTGGGAGACGCCCCACGAGGGGCCGGGCAGGGGCCAGCCTCGCGGCCGGGCCACACCCCGACCGCACTCATCCCTCCGCAGCCGTGCCTGTGTGCCCGCGCTCGGCCTCCGCCAGCCCCCTGACGCCCTGCAGCGCCCCTCGAAGCGTGCACCGCTGCGCCCCCGCTGGGGAGCGCGGGGAGCGGCGCAAGCCCAGCGCTGGGGGCAGCCCCGCTTTGGTCTGCCGCCGGCCAGAGGCCTCGCCGGTGAGTGGCCCCGCAGGTGGGGACAAGCAGCCCGAGTCCCCGAACTCAGGCGCCACTGACCTCTGCCCCCCTTCCCGCTCGCGACCCTCTCTGCCAGGTGCAGAAAAAGGAGAAGAAGGACAAGAAGGACAAGGAGCGGGAGAATGAGAAGGAAAAGAACGCCCTGGCCCGGGAGCGCAGCCTCAAGAAGCGCCAATCGCTGCCTTCAGTGCGCCCGCGCCTCTCAGCAGGCACCGCCTCCGAGCTCAGGTGGGCGGGGCCCTGCGCTTCTCGGGTCCATTAATCCATTCATCCATTCATCCATTCATTCACTCATTCAAACACCTCATCCTAGGCTCCCCCTAGGATGAAAGTTCACTGAAGGCAGGTAGACAGGTATCTCTTCTCTCTCCTTCTCTCTCGCTCTCTGTCTCTCTCTCTCTCTCTCTCTCTCTCTCTCTCTCTGTCTCTTTCTCTCCAGGGTCTTGCTATGTAGCCCAGGCTGACCTCCTTAGTGCTGGGATTATATGTGGACACCACTATTCCCACCCTCTCTTCTTTACCTCTCTTTTTTCTTGCTCCTCTTCTTTTTTTTTCTCCTTCTCTTCCTCCTCTTTTTCTTTCTCTTGCATGTTTTGACTACAGAAATGCTTCAGCGCTTAAAAACATTTCCTGACACCAGACAAGCACTCAATATATACTTGCTGAATGAATGAATGAATGACCTGCCAGGTAGTGTTCTGGGTGCTTAGGACACTTAGGTGAACTAAACCAGGCCCAATTTTTGCTCTTATTAAGTGGATAGGTTACTAGGAAGACAGACATTAATAAAAGACTCTCACAAATAAATAAGTAACCGCAAAGTAGGACATACGCACTAAACGGAAATGATACAGTTTTGTGAGCGCGAATGGGTGGGAGATGCTGAGCTAGCTTTTGGGAGGAAGTGTCACCCTCAGTATGTATGTGCATGCACAGTGTTCTGTGTCCTCCAGTTCTAATCTTTCCCTTCTCTCTTAGCCCCAAGTCCAAGGCCCGGCCATCCTCTCCCTCCACATCCTGGCACAGGCCTGCCTCTCCCTGCCCCAGCCCAGGGCCAGGGCACACGCTCCCTCCAAAACCACCATCCCCCCGAGGCACCACAGCATCACCCAAGGTGCGAGTTCGGAGGAAGGAGGAAGCAAAGGAGAGCCCCAGCCCAGCAGGGCCTGAGGACAAGAACCAGAGTAAGGGCAGGACCAGTGACGAGAAGGAGCCAGCAGCTCCAGCCTCACCAGTACCCTCACCTGTGCCCTCACCCACCCCAGCCCAGCCCCAGAAGGAGCAGCCCACAGTGGAGACCCCTGCAGGTGGGCATAAAGACAGGGTGGGCAGAGAAGCCACCTTTGCCCCTGTGGGAAATGTGATGAGGGGTGGTGTGGGCCATCTGGGGAGTGGGTGTTGAGGGACCAGAAGAGGGGGCTCCTGCCCACAGCAGATAGAGGCCTCAGGACACAGCCATTCTGGGTGATGAGTCACCACAGGTCCAGGATGCACAGGTGTACGCAGTGGTGGTAGAGGTACCTGACCAGTGTGTGCTGACTCCTGGCCCTGGATCCTCCTCCAGATACAGCTGTCCTGATCTCACCCCCAGTCCCTGCTCCCCCAGTGACCCCTAGCAAACCCATGGCCGGCACCACAGACCGAGAAGAAGCTACTCGGCTCCTGGCTGAGAAGCGACGCCAGGCCCGGGAGCAGCGGGAGCGTGAGGAACAGGAGCGGAGGCTGCAGGCCGAAAGGGACAAGTGAGTGAGCCCTCAAGAACTGGGGAGGCCTTGATGCAGGCTGGAGAAGAGGGGTGGATGGGTGCCTGAATTTCCTGCCTCTGTTCGCCAGGCGAATGCGGGAGGAGCAGCTGGCCCGGGAGGCTGAAGCCCGGGCAGAGCGGGAGGCCGAGGCCCGGAGGCGGGAGGAGCAGGAAGCCCGAGAGAAGGCGCAGGCCGAGCAGGAGGAGCAGGAAAGGCTGCAGAAGCAGGTGCTCCCGCGGGTGGGCAGGCTGGCCTTGGCTGGGCGCATGTGCCCCTGGCCCAGAGGGAGGGCTGGAGCCAGATGCCCAGAGCTCATGGCGGCCTTTGGCAGAAGGAGGAGGCGGAAGCCCGGTCGCGGGAAGAAGCAGAACGGCAGCGCCTAGAACGGGAAAAGCACTTCCAGCGGGAGGAGCAGGAGCGGCAAGAACGCAAAAAGGTGTGCAGGGTGGGGTTCGGGCCAGACACAAATGGACGGGTCCAGCGCCAGCTATGGGACTAGGAGTTGGACAGTGAACCCAGTCTTGGGTTTGTAGAAGGTGGGACAAGGAGATGGGGCAGATTCTGGTTCCTGAGCTGGAAAAGGCTGGTGTGAGCTGGGAGGGCACTGAACTCCAGGACTGGGCCCAGCTGCTTGGGAGGTTTAGGATTAGGCCAGGCATGGGCCTAACTGATGTGGGACCTCCAAAACAGCGTCTGGAGGAGATAATGAAGAGGACTCGGAAATCAGAAGTTGCTGAAACCAAGGTCAGGACTCCCAGTTTGGGAATGGGGGCGGGATGAGGAAAGGAGGCTGGCGGGGGAGACCACTTGGGTTTGGACTGAGAGGAGGAAGAATCCAGTCCCACAGTCAAGTGAGTTCAGATAGCCCTTGAGCCTGACTGCTCTTCCTCTTCAAAGCAGAAGCAGGATGGAAAGGAGGCAACGACCAACAATTCCAGCCCTGGTAAGCCCCTGTTCCTCTCAGCTCCATCCCCTTCACTACCCTTTCCTCCAGCCCCACCCTTCTCACCAGCCCCTGACTGCTGGCCATCCTTACTTGTGACAGACTCTGGGAAAGCTGTTGAGGCTCGACCCTCAGGGCTTCAGAAGGAGACTATGCAGAAAGAGGAGCTGGCACCCCAGGAGCCACAATGGAGGTACCATCTCCCAACCCCAGTGCTTTGGGCGGGAGGCCGCCTGAAACTGGAGCTGTGGAGTGGCCTGGACTTCACTGGGAGATGAGGTGCTAACTATGGGCCATGCATCCACAGCCTGCCAAGCAAGGAGCTGCCAGGGTCCCTGGTAAATGGTCTCCAGCCTCTTCCAGCACACCAGGAGAATGGCTTCTCCCCCAAGGGACCCTCTGGGGATAAGAGTCTGGGCCGAACACCAGAGGCACTCCTGCCCTTTTCTGAAGCAGAAGCCTTCCTCAAGAAAGCTGTGGTGCAGCCCCCGCAGGTCACAGGTAGGGACCCCTCACTCTTGGACCCAACTGCATCCCTCCCAGCAGCCTTCCCTGGACTCCCAGCCCTGCTTTCTCCTCTTCCAGCCCTGCCACAGGCCCTCTCCTGCTTCTCTATGACAACCCCCAGGCAGGCTTTGCCCTGACTGTTTTCCCACCCCTTTTCTCCAGAGGTCCTTTAAGCAGTTGCCTTGGATTCAGGTGCGGCTACAAGGGCTCCTCTTCATCATCTACCCAGATGTCTGGAGGAGAAAGAGACAGAACAAAGATGGAAGTGGCCTGGGCCCCCCAGGGGTGGGGTCCTCTCTGTTGTTTTCAATCTGCACCTTATAGACTGATGTGTCTTTGGCTGGAGCTAGACCCTGCTCCTCAGTGCATTTGTGTGCTCACATGCACGGACACCCCTTTCTCCCCATACACACACATACACTCACAGCCTTTCTGGCCTCCCCACACCCCGGGGAAGGGCCATTGTAGTATTTGCCTTGGTTTGGTGGGGTACAGTGGATGTGAATACTGTAAATAGCTTGCGCTCCAATGCCTCTGTGTGGAGGGGGCAGGTGCAGGAGGCAGACCCTCCTCCCTAGGCTCCCTGGAGAGATCTTCCTCTCTATTTAACTGTAACTGAGGGGGAACTCAGGTCTGGGAATGGAGGGGCACCTTGGGCCACAGGATACTGGTTTCTTCAGGGGTACCCTGCCCTACCCTGGAATCAGTGTTATTGCATCTGATCAAACTCCTCCAGAAATAAAGTGAGAATAATTCTGCCGACCTTGTCTGTCCTTGGAGCTGGTGGTAAAGGTGGGAGTGGGTAGCCTCCTGAGCTCTAAGGGCCAGCAGATGTCTATCTCTACCTGGTGGTACCAATCCTGGACCCCCTGCCCTGTGGTCTTCCAGTTCAATCATAGACTAATTCATTTATTCATTCAACAAATATTGTTGCATCTACATTATACCAGGTTTTGGGCTGCACACTGGGGATGCAGTAGTAGGAAAAGATGTAACCTACAATCCCAGCTGTTTAAGAGGCAGAGATCTGGAGGATCAGGGTTCAAGGTCAACCCAGGTAAAAAGTTAACAAGACCCCATCTCAACAAACAAGCCATTAAGTCATGTGTGGTGGTCCCTATCTATAATCCCAGCTATGCTGGAGGCATACATAAGAGGACTGCAGTCTGAGACCAGCCCAGGCAAAAAGTTCAAGATCCTATTAAAAAAATAACTAAGTAAAAAAAGAGAAAGAAAAGGAGGGAGGGAGAGGAAAAGAAAGAGAGAAAAGGAAGGTAAGAAGGCTGGTGGAGTGGCTCAGATGGCAGCATGCCTGACTAGCAAGCATGAGGCCCTGAGTTCAAACCCCAGTACCACATATATATATATATGAAAAAAGAAAGAAAGAAAGGCATTGCAATTGCATCTTCTGTCTTGGTTGCTCTCTTTCTCCTGGGTCACTTGCTCAAGGAAGGCAGTGGTTGGGTCGTGAGCAGCCTCTTAAGAGGCCCCTGTAATCAGAAGCCAAAGCCTCCTGCCAGCAACCATGTGAATAAACTTGGAAGCAGATCCTTCAGTGCCAGTCCAGCCTAACCATAACTTCAGTCCTGGCCCACAGTGTGACCATCTTTTCATGAGAGATGCTGAGCTAGAACCAAGCAGTGAAGCCACTCCTGGGTTTCTAACCCTCAGAAACTGTGAGATAATAAATGTTTCAAACTGCTAAGTTTTGTGATAACTTGTCACACTGAACTAGTGACAACATCATGAGGATTAATACACAGCATGAGGTGAAAACCCTTCTTGTGGGGGCAGGGGGAGAAATGAACCAAGCCTTGTATGCACATATGAATAAATAAAAAAAAAAGAAAAAAAAGAAAACCCTTCTTGTATGATGCAAGGCCCTGCTATGATGCTTGGAATTACCGCATTCATCCTTTACCAACCCGAGGCCAGAACTAACATCATGGATGCAAGGCAGCAAGATGAGGAGAACCTAGATCCTTGAGAACATCATTGAATTAAGCAGTCCAACCACAGGCCTAGCTCCAGACTAGTGGCCTACTCAAGGAAAGTGCCCTGTAAAGAAGCAGGTTTAAGCCAGGTGCCAGTGGCTTACGCCTGTAATCATAGCTACCTGGAAGGCTAAAATCAAGAGGATCAAATTTGAAGCCAGTTCAGGCGGAAAGTTCTCAAGACCCGCCCCCCCCCCCAAAAATAACTAGAGCAAAATGGACTGGAGGTGTGGCTCAAGTAGTAGAGCACCTGCTTTGTGAGTGCAGAGTCCTGAGTTCAGACCCCAGTCCCACGTGTGAGAGGCCCCCAAGGCTAGGAGCCTGGGCTGTGGTTGCTGGGATTGTGAATAGTGCTCTGGAGAATAGCTAGATGGGGCTGGAGAGGTGAGCAGGGGCCAAGTCAGACATATGGTAAGGGAGACAGGCACAGTGACAACTGCTCTGGGCCTATCCATCCATGGTGGAAGCACCTTTGCATACCCTGACCAGCCCGCAGTTCAGCCAACAGCTCATGTTCGTAATGAGGCAGAGGCGCCAGCATTTCCTTAGGAGCCTCTGAATACTCTTGGGTAAGATTTACTCACTTCTCTATTCAATCAATCAATTGCCTATGGAGTGCCTGCTAAACACCAGAGGGATACAACAGTAAGCAGAAAGCAGAGCTCAGAAGCTCCTGAGTTTCCTGGTGGGGAAGATGGACGTTAATCAAATAACCATACAAACAAATGTGAAAGAACTCATGGTAAGCACTGTGAAGGCAGAAAATAGGGAGAAAGGAGCACAGAGCAGGGATCTGTGCTCGGGTCCCACAAGCTGTCCCTGAATCAATGGTGATTCAGTTGAGGCCTGATGGGTCAGTAGGTATCAACTGGACATGATCAGAAAGGTAGAGAAAAGAGATAGAAAAGCACTTTCCAGACAGGGGAAGAGGCTCTATGTGAGAAGCAGCTGTGTCCAAGTATCCACAGGACTGGGAGCAGATCTGAAAGAGTCTGTTTTTGCTCACACACAGCAGTTCTCGGTGACCAGTAGAAGCCCTCAATATTTGTTGAATTAAGAAAGGTCATTTGAGCTGGGCACTGGTGATTCATGCCTATAATCCTAGCTACTTGGGACTGAGATACAGAGGATTGAGGTCTGAGGCCAGTGTGGGAAAATAGTTGGACAGACCCCAGCTCCAAAACAACCAGAGCAAAATGGACTGGAGGTGTGACTCAAACAGTAGAATGCCTGCTTTGCAAGCTGAAAGCCCTGAATTCAAAACTCAGTCCCACCAAAAAAAAAAAAAAAAAAAAGTCTGTTGAAGTAGAGCTTGGCATGAGGGGAGCCTGACCAGGCAAGCCTTGTAGGGCTGTGGTCAGAAGCGTGCGTTTTATTCCCAAGGCCCTAGGAAAGTACTAGAAGCTATTAAACAGGGATAGGGAAAGTTACATGATCAGATTGGCAATTTTCTTAGATTACTTTGGCTTCTGAGTGAGGAACTCATTGGTAGGGACTTGATTATAAACAGAGAGACAAAAAGTGATTGTTGAGGTCCAGACAAAAGATGACAGAGTCTAGCCCTGGGAGATAGAAAGAGAGAAAAAGAGGTGTGTAACAAATTTACTTAGGCATTCGAGAAACATTTATCAAGCACCTATAATGTGCCAGACACAAAAGTGCTGAGATCTTTAAGTGAACAAAAGTTGACATGGTCCTTACCCTCATGGAGGTTTTTTTTTTTTTGTGGCACTGGGGTTTGAACTCAGGGCCTTATGCTTGGGCACTCTTACCTCTTGAATCATTCCTCTAGCCCTTTTTTGTGATGTGTTTTTTTGAGATAGGGGTTTCATGAACTATTTGCCTGGGGCTGGCTTCAAACCCTCGATTCTTCTGATCTCTGCCTCCTGAGTAGCTAAGATTATAGGCATGAGCCATCATCACCCAGCTCACCCTCATGGAGTTTTATTAATGAATTGTATAACAGCTGGGCACTAGTAGCTCACACCTATAATACTAGCTACTCAGCAGGCAGAGATCAGAAGGATCGAGATTCAAAGCCAGCCTGGGCAAATAGTTTTCGAGACCCTGTCTTGAAAATACTCAGTACAAAAAAGGTCTGGTAGGGTGCTTCAAGTGATAGACCACCTGTCTAGCAAGTGTGAATCCCTGAGTTCAAGCCCCAGTACTGACAAAAGAAATGAATAGTATTACAAACAAGTATACAATTACAACAGTGACAAACTGTGAACAGCAAAACAGTATGTGGTGTTAGAAAAGTGAATAATGCCTAGCATCACAAAACAAAAACAAAAAATAAACCAAAAACAAATAAAACTGAATAATTAGAATCAGACCCAGTGGTGCACACCAGGAGGATCATCATTTGAGGCCAGTCTGAGCAAAAAGTTAATGAAACCCTACCTGAAAAATAATTGGGGTTTGGGGGCATGGCTCATGAGGTAGAGTACCTGTTTATGCTTAATAAATGCAAGGCCCTGAGATCAAACTACAGTACTGACCAAAAAAAAAAAAAAAGTGAATAATAAGGGATCTGACCTAGTTAGGGAAACCAATTAGGGTATCCCTGAGAAAGCAATGCTGCCCCAGAGATCTGCGGGAGTAAGGGTTAGAACAGAGGAGTGAGACCCCAGGGCTGAGGAAACAGCCTGTGCAAAGGCCCTGTGATAAAATGGCTAGTGTAGCTTGAACGTAGAGAGTGAGGGAAGCATAGCGCCAGAGAGGTAAGGAGGACCAGACTGCAGGGCCTCTGGGCCATTTAAGAGTTTGGTCTTTATTACAAGAGCACTGAGAAGTTACTGAAAGGTTTTAGCAGGTGGGGACCTGGTTAGAAAAACATTCTTTTAAGATTATCAGGACTATCACCTGGAGAAGCTATTGGGAGAAGGAGGGAGAGAGTCTGTCAAGATCAGATGGTAATAGAAATCCTGGTGAGAGATGATGGGCTCTTTCTGCTTGGTCCAGTTGGACACAAGGTAGTGAAAAAGTGGATTGGACTCGGAATAAAAAGGAAGAGGTATCAAGGAGGATTTCAAGTTTTCCAGGCCAAACAACAAGACCGATACTGGTATCATTCACTGAGAGGGAAGTCTGTAAGACAGCAAGTTTAGGAGAACAAGCTGAGTTTGACCTGAGTCTGGGCTCAGAGGTTGGGTCTGATTCCATAGCCTGGGAGAGGGGACTGAGGGGTAGGGCAGGGGAAGTTCTAAGAGGGAGGATCTTCAATGGCTCTCCTGGCACAGCAGGGCTTTTCCAGGAAGTCCTAGGGCAACAGCTGACTTTGGAAGAAGTGGCCCAGACTGCAAGGAGGCTGGTCTCCAGGTCTGATTTCCTTATTTTCTTGCCAGAGATTTAGGAATTCCAGCATCTTCCAGTCCCTGAGTGAGTCTAAGAATGGAGTTGGAGGCAGGGTCCCACCCCTTTGGAAATCCCTCCTTTTCCCTAGCTCTGCCCTTTCCCCCAACTGGGCTAGACAAGGCAGGGACTGAAAGAGGCAACAAAATGCCCTTGGCTACTCCTGACTCCATCCCTGCCGCCGACTGAGCTCAGGTTCTCTTACACACCCACCCCAACCCACACACAATCTTTCTGTACCGACTCCCCAACTCCACTGGTTCCAGACCCAGCAGGCCCCTCTCAAAAGAACATTAACTCCAACCCCTAAGCCAGCTTGTTTCCCCATGAACTGACATTTGGCTTTTGGCTCCCCCTGGTGGTCAAATGAGCACATACTGGCTCATAGAAGAGATGGGAGATGCAGAGACCA